AAACTTGGTATAGTCCGGGGTGATTCTTCAATAGAATGAACTATAGTTCTGAAAGAAAATAACTAGTTCCATATAGGTATATAAATACATAGTAATCACCTTTGAGTTTTTTTTTTATGTAAATGGGCTTATATGTTCACCTACTTTAAAGAGAAATATCCGTAAATGAACACATTTGCACAGAGTTCCACTTTTATAAATAGACTATACAAAACAGTTGTTCTATATATGTCTCTGACAGGGTCTGCCTAGACAGCCCCAACCCCCTGCCTATTAGCTTCCACTTCCATATTTGCCTGGCTGCGGCACTGTATTTAGATTTAAATACCATGGAAGAGTGTGTTGCCCACCCTCTCCAAAAAAATTTAATCAGAAATGTCCATGTTTTGGTAAGGGAAACTCAAAAATCACAGAAAAAAAAAAAACCAAACATGCACACTACTTCATGCCGTAGAAAGACAATGTGCAAGTTTGATTGAATTGGTTGTTTACAAGGAGCTTGCATTAACTTAAAGTGTGACATGAACTATGACTACAATGCAAGAAGATATAAGTAATACTCATATGTTACAACAGCTTTGCTGCCAGGGGACAGAGCAGTACAATGAGTCTCCCATCTTGTAATCATCTCAAAAGTAGACTACAGAAAGTCCAATAAGTCCTTTAAAAAAATTAAATTATAATATAAAAATGGTAGAATAGGTAAAAAATATATGGAGAATGTTCCCATGGGACACAAGTGATGCCCACGCTTGCATATAACGTTATACAGGGACATAACTCAAGAACGGTAAATGTAACGCCACCCAAATTCGAACTTGATCTGAGTTTTGTGGTAATAAGCATTGTGTATAAGTTTCATAACATTTAAAAACTACATTTTGGGACATACAGACGTGCAGAGGGACAAGGGTAACACGTAATGTCCCCTCTGCTGGGGTAGGGTTAAAATAAACAGCTGCGCCATGAGCGCATGATACGCCCGTCGTCTTGTGTGTGAATTTTTATGCAATAAGCATCAATAGTTTCTGACATACGGCGTGACATGCGAAAACCCCCTTTTTTTTACAAAAAACTCAATATCTCTAAAACAAAATTTTGAATCAAAACCAAAAATTATACAGATCTTTAGATTAATATAACTAAGAAGTGTGTAAAATTTTAAGCAATAATCATAAATCGTTTTTGAGATACAGCGCGACATGTGAAAAACCCCTCCCCCTTTTTTAACAAAATACTCAATAACTCAAAAATAAAATTTTGAATCATCACCAAAAAGTATACAGATCTTAAGGTTAATATAACTAAGAAGTGTGTAAAGTTTTAAGCAATAATCATAAATTGTTTTTGAGATACGGCGCGACATGTGAAAAAAAACACACACCTGTTTTAGTTACTAAGTCCCGTAACTCAAAAAGTTTTAATCTTATTTTCACCAAAAAGTATACAGATCGTTTGACCATCATAAGAAACAACTATGTAAAGTTTCATGAAATTTGGATAAGTCATTCTCAAGTTACGGTGCGACATGTTTACGCGGGACAGACAGAAAAACAGACGGACAGACAGACGGACGGTCGCCAGACATTTGTATACCATAATACGTCCCGTCAAAAATTTGATGGGCGTATAAAAATGGTCAAGAACAATCTTACTTAGTATTTCAAGCCTTTCAGGCAAACTGTTGTCAACATGTTACAATAGGCCAAGACAGTAAAAGCCCCACAAACCAAGCAAAATTTTTCCAAAGAAAATGGATGAAAAAATGATCAACTGAAAATTATTACAAATAATTCAACCAAGTATAAAAACTTTCAGACATGCATTATTACCGTCTCAAAAATTACATTATACCTTTCACAGGGTGTCATTTCATTAAAAGCATCCAAAAAATGAAAAGCCCCTTAGACCTTTTAAAAATGGATCAAGTCTTAACTGGCCAGTTTGCACAGATTGTTCCTTAAACAATGAAGAATGGTCTATAGTGATTATTTAAAGGAAAAATAGAAACATGAAATGTAAATGAAAATTCTCAAATCTTGAAAACTGTTGAAACATTCCTCAGACAATAATAGCAAGAGCACAATTTCAATATATAATTTACAATCTCTGTGAAGTTTTTCCAGGATCTGTATTGAAATCTGTAGGAGTTGATTATACAAAATAGGTACATTCATTTGTAAATTTTGCAGGAAAATTACTTAGTTCCCACGTCTAGAATAATGTAAAAAAAATACCCACTTTCCCCTGCAAATCCACCTGATATTTCCATACTGTAAGTGTAATTTGTGCAACCTGGCCAAAAACTGTCAACTCAGAATGGTGATATAGCATGGTCAACTACATAAACATGTTATAACAAATATTCTTCCTAAGTATGACATATATGGTCTCAGGAGAGTAAATGTCATTATTCTAAAAGTGGAAAAACTTTAAATAAGCAAAATAATCAAAAATGAAATAAAAATTGTTTGAATGTAAATTAAAAAAAAAGAAAACCATATACTTACTGGGAAAGATGATGACATAGATAAATCTGTTAAAAGCATATAATATATATGTGATTATCTTGCTGAAAGCCTTGTTAAATTTTCTATTTTGAGCAATGCCATAGTATTCTGACAATACAGACCAGAATCCAAGGGTAAACAGCTGATACTTAAAATTGATTTGTCATGTTGTTAAAAAATATTTCAATCTTGATCTCATCTCTCATGTTCATGTCTTATTTGACTGCTATCTGTCATTGTTGCTACATTTGCAATCAAGTGGTCTCTAGTGGTCTCTATTATAATGTTTACTTTCAGTAATATTAGTAAGGTAATTTATTACCCCTTTCTAAATAGTCTTACTTATATATTTTTTCTTAAATGAACAGGTATATGTATACATTATATGATCTCATATACATTTAAATCACTTTGCACTAAGTGCAACAACATTAAACACATACATACAGTAGGTTCAGCTTTAATCTTATATAATATTACCTTTTTCAATTTTTTATCTACATGGTATAAGAAACATGCTGTGATTAAGCAAATAATTAACAAGCAATTTGGCAATAATTGATACCAGTATAAATGGGAACTGATGCCAGGGGAAAGGGGCAAAATAAATCAGATATCAGTTTACTTACAAAAAGGAACGTTAATGTGACAACCAACATCACAATCTAAACTTGTTGAAAACCATGAAGGGCCTTTTTCAATTCTCTATCTTTCAAAATGTCCTATATCAATTCCCTTTATGCACTTCAAGTGTCCTTTTTAACCATGCAGTTATGTCCTGATGAGTTCTTTTTTGAATTAGCCCTTTTCAAAAGCTTGTCAAAACATTGAAACTGATAATTTTTTAATTTTTTATAGATTTTGTCTGCTAATCAAATGTTAGCTTACTGACACAGACATAATTCATCATACGATTATTTACAAAGAGAACCATATATTTAAATATTTCGCCTGTTTAACATCTATGTTCTATATTTTTGTAACAAGAATCAAGTTGGTTTATCAGCAGGAACACAATTAGCAAATCTGAAACTAAACAACTTAAGGATACTTGTGACGAAGTTTTGTCTCAATGCATTGACTGAGTTTCGGAGAAAGAGAGATCCATGGAGACAGAGGACAGACAACTGACCCTAATAAAAGGCAAAAGCTGACATTGGCAATTTGTGCCAGGTGAACTTAAAAGAAAATTGTAATCTATTTAAAGTATATGATAGGGTATACAGTTCAAACAATGTTTTAATTCAAATCATTTCCTGATTTGCTGTCTTAATTTTTCTTGTTAAAGATGATTAATAAATGCTCATTTGCTTTTTTCAGATTTTGACAGAACTACCTATTGTATGTTTTTGTCAGCGCAGCGGCGGCGGCGTCCAAAAATATTCACTCTGTGGTTAAAGTTTTTGAAATTTTAATAACTTTCTTAACCTATCCTGGATTTCTACCAAACTTGGACAGCAGCTTGTTTATGATCATAAGATAGTATCCAAAAGTAAATTTTGTAAAAATAAAATTCCATTTTTTCCGTATTTTACTTATAAATGGACTTAGTTTTTCTGCCGGGAAATATTACATTCACTCTGTGGTTAAAGTTTTTAAAATTTTAATAACTTTCTTAAACTATCCTGGGTTTGTACCAAACTTGGACAGAAGCTTGTTTATGATCATAAGATAGTATCTAGAAGTAAATTTTGTAAAAAAAATAAATCCATTTTTTCCTTATTTTACTTTTAAATGGACTTAGATTTTCTACCAGGAAACAACACATTCACTCTGTGGTTAAAGTTTTTAAAATTTTCATAACTTTCTTATACTAATTTGGATTTGTACCAAACTTGGACAGAAGCTTGTTTATGATCAAATGCTAGTATCTAGAAGGAAATTTTGTAAAAAAATAAATCCATTTTTTCTGTATTTTACTTTTAAATGGACTTAGATTTTCTGCCAGGAAACAACATATTCACTCTGTGGTTAAAGTTTTTAAAATTTTAATAACTTTCTTATACTATTTTGGATTTGTACCAAACTTGGACAGAAGCTTGTTTATGATCAAATGCTAGTATCTAGAAGGAAATTTTGTTTTCTTCAGTTAACATTACATTCAGTCTGCAGTTTAAGTTTTTAAACATTTATTAGATTCATAAACTATCCTGGATTTTTACCAAACTTGGACAGAAGCTTCTTACAATCAAAAGATAGTATCAAGAGGAATATTTTTATTGATTTACTTCCTCATTTTTGTTGAGCCTGCGATTAACAGAAATAGTAGGCGAGACTCTGGGTTCCTCGGAACCCTTACGAATTTTTTCTGCTAATTTCACCATTTATAAAACCCCAATGTAACTGATTCAAAACATAAAACTCTTATTTCTAGAAGTAAGTATAGGAATAATTACATATCTACACAAATTATTAAAACAACATATTTTAATTACAAATTGTTAAATAAGCTAAATGTACATCTACAAAATGTTAATCCAATATACCTACAGTTCTAACAAAGTCTTTAGATGCTTTAGGACTGGTGGTTGGTGAAGGACAGTCAGACTTTATCTCTCCCATTTTATTTCTTTTCCTTGCACTGGACATATTGTAAGCTAATAATAGAGAAAAAAAATACAATAAAATCTTTACACAATATTTCATCACTAACATAACTAGAAATCACAATAAGTCTGTCTATACATGGTATATATGTTTGTATAGTTCACCTGAGTCCGAAGGCTCAAACTATCTAGTTACTGGAAAGTTTTTCTTTGGTTTAATCTGGATATATATCCAATAGATTATGTTATCAACCACATTAAAAATGCAAACAAAATTAACTTCTTAAAGATCTCAACAATCTTTGCACACCCCAAAACATTTTGCTAGTGATCACAACTCACATTAGGCATTGATTCCAGATCAAGTGTTCAACTGATCATAAGTCAAATTTTTTAAATAATGGTCACGAAATCATAACATTGTTTGATGAACCATAAAAATGAGGTCATTATCAGATTATTGTAATAGCTTGATAACATAGTATAAATAACACCTCCACGCAATGAAGATATAAAATGTGTGTCTCTTATCATTGAGGAAATATGTCTCGGTATATTTGTCTTTGTTTATTTTTGTATTTGTATTTTGTAAATGTCAGCTGGTATCATTCCTGTATTGGAATTTACAATAAAATTATTTGATTTGTCATGATCCTATCAGACAGACATGTACACCCAACAATAGTTTTTTACAGACCAAAATATAGTTGACATATTACTAATAGTAGTTGCATTATCCATTTTATAGACCAAATTTAGTCAACCTATTAGGGAACAACCATTTAACTAAAAGGGGGTTATGTTTTTTTTGAGAAAAAATATATTCTGATTTCAAAAAGAAGAAAAATTAATAATTTATCGCACAGCACTGACAAAAATAATTGGGGAATGTGTCCAGTGGACACAGATGATGCCCCCGCTTGCATATAATGTTATATAGGAACATAACTCTCAAGAACAGTAAAAGTGAAGCTACCCAATTCGTACTTGATCTGACTTTTGTGGTAATAAGCATTGTGTATAATTTTCATAACATTTGGATGAGGCAAACTTAAGTTAGAGAACGGAAACGAAAAAATCAGCAATTTTTTCATTTGTAAAGGGGCATAACTCTAGATTGGTAAAAGCAACGCCACCAAAATTCAAACCTGATCTATGTTTTGTGGTAATAAGCATTGTGTATAAGTACAAAAACTGTTACCGATACAGAGCCAAGTGTAGTAAGGGCAAGGCAGCCAAGTCAGTTTGTACTTCTTACATGGCCCAGTGTTCCAAGACCAGTGCTTTAGTTATTAAATAACAATGTCAATGTAATAAAGACAGTGCTTCAGCTAATATACTTTGACAGTGTTTGAAAATATGGGCATGTTCCGTTTTCTAGCAAAATGCTTACCAAGAGTGCACACACTGAAATGTCTCACCTGTTTTAATGACCATTGATTTTATTTTGGAAGTCTTAAAGATAAAGGTTTTACTACAAGTATCACATAAACCTAATATTTTTTAAGATCCATGACAATGAGGTCAAGGTCAGACAAATTCTGTCAGACAGACATGTTCACCTTACAATTAACACACCAAATATAGTTGACCTACTGCATAAAGTATTTGAAAAACAGACCAAAACACAAAAACTTAACACTGACCAATGAAACATGAAAATGAGGTCAAGGTCAGATTATACCTGCCAAACAGACATGTACACCTTTCAATCATCCATAATCCGTACACCAAATATAGTTGACCTACTGCTTAAAGTATTTGAAAAACAGACCAAAACACTACACCTTTCAATCATCCATAATCCGTACACCAAATATAGTTGACCTACTGCTTAAAGTATTTGAAAAACAGACCAAAACACAAAAACAGTCAATGAACCATGAAAATGAGGACTAGTTCAGATGATACCTGCCAAACAGACATGTACACCTTACAATCATATAGCTGACCTTTTGCCTAAAGTACTTGAAAAACAAACTAAAACTAAAAATCTTAACATTGACCAATGAACCATGAAAATGAGGTCAAGGTCAGGTGAACCTGCTAGACTGACATGTACCCCTACAATCTTTCCATACACCACATATTATTGACCTACTGCTTATAGTATCTGTGAAACGGACCTAATCATGTAACATTAACCTTGAACACTGATCCTTAAAATGAGGTCAAGGTCAGGTTAACTCTTATCTGACGAATGTGCAGACATTGCAAGGAACCCATACACCCAACATAGTTATCATATTACTCATAATAAGAGAGAAATGCACATAACAAATATACTATAATTTTTTTTTCAAGCAGTTGATGAACCATGAATATGAAGTCAAGGACAATGGACATATGACAGATGGAAACTTCTTAACAAAAGGTATCTGTAAACAAGGTATGAAGCATCCAGGTTTTCTACCTTCTGAAATATAAAGCCTTATTCGAATAGTTTACATTGCCACAGCCTAAAAGTAATCACTCTGTCTTGCATATTGTGACTTTCGTCGCAGGTGAGACAAAAACCATGCATTACTATTGTTATTGTTTGATCATTTTTCATCTATTTATCATTTTATAATAGCATAGCGTATTTCTGTCTTATATATCTAGGCCATTGAATAAAAATAAAAAAGATATAGGCATGAATAAAATACAATGATTTAATTTTCTCTTTGTACTCAAAGGAAAGGTTATATGATTATATCTTAGTGCTTTTTTCACGAGCAGTCAACAATCAACAATGAAAAACAAAATCAGAAACAGAAACTTCTCAATTATTCTTTCAACTGATCATGCTGATATCATTCAAACAGACATGCTACAAGGGTACTGTAAACACATTAATATATTACATTCAGAAGGAAGATTGCAGAAAAAAACACAAAAAAGACCATTTTTACATCAGACAGTATAAATTTACAACAAAAACAATGTGGACAAAAAGCCTCCTGATCTGTCTCAGGACTAAACTCCTCATCAAAATTTCCCTTAATTGATATTATGACCCAAAAAAATACCTGTTCTTTTACGACCGACCCATGTTTAATCTGTGTTCCAGATTAAAGTCAACCCAAAATTAAAGGTCCATGTCTACTAGTTAATGTTATCAATCAGAAATCCAATCATATCATTTAATCATCACCTGTACTAAAATTTTATCAACAATTTATCAATGAAACAATACTAGCCACTCTGTTGATTAAAGGTTAGTATTTGTCAATGGCTGAAGAATGCAATCTCAGGTCACTTAATCTAACTGTTGTAATTGCAGTTTGATTTAAGTAATCAACAAACAATTATGATCAACTACTGGTTATTACATTTTCAATCTCTTAATTCCTATTGACTCCTGGAAAATGACCATCAATAAATCCAGAATTGTATTTTACTTCCATGCTTAAAAGCAAAAAATGGCAGTGCCCATTATAAATAAATAAACTTCTCACAAAACACAAGATTCACGTCTTTCCCTAAAACAACAAATTTTGAGTTCCAGAATTTTGATAAATCAGTTTTCTGACCTCATTATTGAACCTAATACTCTAATGATGTATTCAAACAATCACTTTTGGTCTGTGACGTCAAATATTTTCTAATTCAAAAATTGGGAGCAGCAATTTTGAAGAACAAGACATTTATTTGGTGTTGTCCATGGCCCAATATATTCTTCTATAAAATTCGATAAATTCAAATATAAAACTTCATATTATTTTAAAAATGTTGATAATTATAGGTTTCATAACTAGAGAGAATTGGATATCGTTTGATATCAACTTGAGTTATTTAATTTCAATATAATAATAAACGAGCCTGTTAAAATTAAATAACAAGAGTTGATATCAAGCAATATCCAATTCTCACAAGTTGTTAAACCTATTTCTCTTATGGTCAACACACACATTGTGTAAAATCAAAAAGTCTGTGAATTGTTCATCTAGTCTTTTTCACATACCAGTATGATGTCATATGCCCTGTTCCGGCTTCAAACTTAAACATCAGACATTTTAAAACTTTTTGTACGCTTCAGAATGTAATTAAATTTGACAAAAAAAGACTGTTTTGTTTTGTATATTATTGAAGAAGGACAAAATGTACATCAATATCATCGTCTTAACCTTTGAAAGTCAACAATGACCTAACGAATAGCTAATGAAAATGTTATATTAAATATCATCTCATGATGCGCTGGATAAGCCAACCAAATTAACACAGTTTTCGTATCACTCTCCGTGCAGCGTGATAAGAGAATTTATCTCTTCTTGCAAGAAATAGATAACAGACCACAACCATGAGAGAATGAAATTTTTGCTTCTTAACCTCAGTTTTCTAAACTATGATAATTGGCAATAAGATATCCACCTCACTAAGACTACTTACATCATTTTCAACATACTCAGATAATGAATCAAAAACTCAGTGAGAGTCTTATTAACAGCTATTTGTTACATGATAATATTTCTACCCATCAGATTCCATTGTTGAAAAATGAGATTTGGGAGGACCACCAACAGCTTTTTTCACTGATACTGAGGACAGTATGATTGCCCAGCTATATAGCACAGCTTGCATACTTCCCCTAGTAATGGACTTCTGTTACAACTAATTTCATTTGTCATCTTTATTTATTCTCAATAGAATTAGAGAAAACATTATTCAGGGTGTGTTAATACTTTCTAAATAAATTGCTTCGCCAAGCGCAGCTGGATACAACCGCAGAGGTCCAACCCTGAACAGTTGGGGCAAAAATGGAAACAATATTCGTGCTTGATACAGGTCTGAATTTGGACTGTAATTAAATATTTGACACATAATAGGTTTCTGACACAGAATAACTGTAGTAAAAAAACTTAGATTTGGTTATATGATTTGAATTTATATTCAATTTTTTACTTTTGTGCAATACACTATGCTGTTGCGAATTGACCCCTCAAAAAAAAAAAAAAAAAAATTTACCCCCCCCCCCCCCCCCCACTTTTTTTTTTGCAAAAAAAAAAATATTTGAAGAAATTTTCTTTTTAATTTCTGAAATCTGAAATGAGAAAAAATTGTCCCCCCCTTCACAATTTCTTTTTTACCCCCCCCCCCCCCTCCCCTTTTTCAAAAAAAAAAATTTCTTTCCCTCAAGATATGGTCATAATCTCAATTCAAATTTCCAATGGAGTTTGCAACCATAATTACCCATTTAAATACATCATAAAAGTCTTAAAATAGAAAATGACATACATAATCATGGCTAAAATTAATATTCCTTAATCAGCATGTTTAAATAGTAACTTCTAAAAATAAATTGACAGCTAATCACCTCAAGACAATACAACATTTCTTTATACATAATTTAAAAGCAGTGTAAGGGAGGTAATCCAAACATAACATTGTACTTTTTTTTAATTGTCCATTAACCAAGAAACCCTTGTTTTTCCCCCTTTTTTGCCCCTAATTCCTAAACGGTTTGAGCCATAATCCCCCAAATCCAATCCTTAACATCCCTTTATGGTATGGAAACTTGTGGTATAATTTCAGAGAGATCCATACACCGTTCCATAAGTTATTGTCTGGAAACTAGAAAAATGCTTATTTGGGCCCCTTTTTGGTCCCTAAACTGTTAGGACTATAACCCCAAAAATCAATCCCAACCTTCCTTTTGTGGTTATAAACCTTGTGTTTAAATTTCATAGATTTCTATTTACATTTACTTAAGTTATTGTCCGGAAACTAAATGTCTTGGACGATGCTGACGTGATACCAATATACGACCGCAAAAATAAAAATAGATATCTGATTTTGCTATGCTCAAAAAAAGAGACTGTGAGTTACGACAAATCTGAATTTTAAAATATATGAATCCTTAAAAACTACAAACTATTCTTTTATTTGAATAAAAAAATAAATCTGCAAACTTCACAATTCTGCAGTGATATATAGCAGTTTATAATAAATATAAGTCTGAAAAATGGTCACTGACAAAGTCTTTATCGGAATCGTCTTAAAAAATGCAAATTTCTGCATCCTGAATCAAATACTCCCCAAACCTCTCCTACTTTTATAACAATTATTCATTATTTTAGTACGGGGCTGGATTGACTTGGGTTGTATTGACTTGGACCAAATTGACTTGGGCGGGATCAACCTGGAGTCGGGATGACATGGGTTTGGATCGGTTTTGGGCCGGAACTACCTGATACCTATAATAATATTGATGGACTTAAAGTCATATGAAACTTCAAATTTAAAAAAACAGTTGAATATGTTTTATACACTTGAATGGCTAGGTTTAACTATAAAACAAGTGTATGTAAACTTTCTTGCAAAAGAAAATCCTTTATATTATCAAAATCTTCATAAATGTACTGCTATTTAATTATTATCCTATACACTAATTCTCTGATATTTTTCAGTATCAGTGACCTTTAACTACATGACCTCTAGTTTGAACTTTGGCCACCGCACATCCCAAGGCAAGGGGAAAACTGTGATGAAAGAATGTTGACAAACTTGCACTGGTAGGTATATAGTTATAGCTGATTTTTAAAGAACAAATTTATTACAACAAAATTGAAGTCATTTAACCCCCGCTACATTCCTTATGTGCCTGTCCCAAGTCAGGAGTCTGTAGTTCAGTGGTTGTCATTGGTTCATGTCTGTCATATTTGTTTTTCGTAAATTGTTTTGTTATAATTCAGGCTGTTAGTTTTCTCAATTGAATTGATTCATATTTTTATGTCGGGGCCTTTTAGATTCAACTATACTGTATGGGTTTTTCTCATTGTTGTCTACAGTTGAAGGCTGTACGGTTACCTATAATTGCTTACATCCACTTCATTTGATCTTTGGTGGATATAGTTGTCTTATTGGCAATCATACCACATCTCCATATTTTTATATTTAACAACTGTTAAGGAAAAGTTAAATTAACAAATGGGAACACATGGAAAATTGAAAAAAAAATCATGGCTCTATCAATTCACGTATTTGTCATGTATTCCACATGCTCTGTGTATATTGTTTAACAATGTCACTATGCAGTAAAATTCATCGACAAACTCGAAAGTTAATTAGCTTGCAAGCAACAATGAGGGGTGGACAGCTTTTGAGGGAGCTGGGAGGTGGGGGGAGGTGGGACAGAAAAAAAGATTCGAAAAGTGGGAGGTGGGAGAAGGGGGGTGTGAGGTGGGAGAAGGGTACCCCCCTGTCCACCCCCTCAACATTGACAACAATCTCTGAATGAAATATTATTTGTCGATTATATGTTATAGTCTATAGATTCCTAATAAATATAAAAAGGTGCATGCAGTACTTATTTTAGTATATATGCATGCATTGGTTCAATAATTTCGATAATATTAAAATTACAAGAAACTCGGCTCATGACTTTAATGATTCAAATGTAGTTATTTATATGGACTTTGTCCTTTTTCACAGTTAAGACCTGGTTCATAATAGCTTTTTAAATAGCTACATTTTGTACTTACACGCCAATTTTGAAATATGAATTGAGAGAGTTCAAGTATTCAGTACATTTACGGGTTGTCTTTTAACAATGACGCGACAATATCTAAAATACGGAGAAGAGTGTCTAGAAAATCATCTGTTTACTTTTTCGTCTGTGCATTTGTGTTCCACGTCATCAATTTTGCTGATTCTAAAAATGTGAACCGTAGATGGAGACAGTCCTGAATACGCGGAATATCATATATAAAATCTTCAGTGTGAGAACTTGGTGTACACAAAAGGAGTATAGATTTTGCTGTATTATCAGAACTGGGATGTTTTCCCCTACATTATGATATTGTAAAGTCAATTGTTGAATACTGGTATAGATTTGAAAATCTTTCGACTGAATTCAGTCTGTTCATGGAAGTAAAATATAATACTTCCATGGTCTGTTGAAAGACGCTTATAAATGCAGCCAAGAGCTTCACAAATCTAACATAACTTCTTGGTTCTCATTTGTTACAAAAATATTAGAAGTTTTTGAAATTAAACAAGAAGTAAAACATTTTGGACAATATAAATTTTTGAATATATATCCAACAAATTAATTCACACTAAATATATTAACAATTGGTATGTTAGCCAAAAAAAATGCTTCTGATGGAAAATTGTTCAATTATTTGAAATTTAAACAAAATTTTGGTTATGAAAATTATCTCTCTTTGGTTAAGAACTTTGATTTTAGAAGAGCTATTTGCAAATTACGTATACATCTGCTCATAAGCTTCAAATTGAATTTCGCCGTTTCTCAAATATTCCACGAAATGGAAGAATTTGCAGAAAATGCTTCCCTGGCTGTGTTGAAGATGAAAAATCCATTTTTTAACTTCATGTGAAAAATTTAACTCTGATAGAGATGCTCTCTTTGACTTTGTTTGCCAAAGATTCCAAACTTTTCTTTACTGCACAATCAGCAAAAAAGCATTTATTTATTAAGCTGTGAAGACAATCATGTCCTAAATGCTGTTGGAAAATTTATTAAAGTCAATATGACTTAGATCTATTTATTTTTCATATAACTATATTATATACTATAATTCAAGGGCTTTATTACAGTCTAATTGTATTGTGATTGTGTATTTAAATGCTATGTATCTATGCTAATCAATGTTCTGTTTTCTTATACATGTATTCTCTATATGACCCTTGGGGCCCTTAATTGGTAATGAAATATGTTCTATATAGTGTATTCATCACGGTTGTTTATTTCAATTTTTTCGAAGCTTACAAGAAATAAAATATCGAATTAAAAATGGGATTTCTTCAAAATGACAACAAGAGCAAAGATTGCATTCTAAACGATCAATTTCAGTTGGTTTTTACCACAGAAAACCATAATACTTGAACTTCCCAAATAAAGGGAGAAGTCCATTTTCCACCATGAAGGATATTTTTTATGCCCCCGCAACTGAAAGTTGGGGGGCATATTGTTTTCCCCTGTCCGTCCATCTGTCCGTCCGTCCCATTATGGGTATATAGTTATCCCAGATAACTCCTCCTACAGTTTGAATGTGAGGAAGTTTTCACTTTGCTGGCTGTTTGTACATATATTGAAGGTGTGCATGTGGTCAGGGTTTTGATTTTTATTGATATTTGCTCTTTTGGGGAGATAGTTCACCTCTCTGAAACTAACAAAACCTTTAAATAGACTTATTAAGAAGGGATATAGTTACGATACTGTTGTCAGGTCATTAAAGATTGCATATTTTGGCGTTGATATTGATTCACTTATAGGGTCTTTGCATCTGCACTAAACACATTTATTTAAAAACCAGTTGTTGGCATGACACGGGTTATGTTCTTCTCATATATGTTATGATGGTATGATACTAAACCCCTAACGGGAAAGATTGTGCCTGATATTCATATGATGAAGACATAATCTTTCAATCAGTTTAATTGAAGTCTGGAGCTGGCATGTCAGTTAACTGCTAGTAGTCTGTTGTTATTTATGTATTATTGTCATTTTGTTTATTTTCTTTGGTTACATCTTCTGACATCAGACTCGGACTTCTCTTGAACTGAATTTTAATGTGCGTATTGTTATGCGTTTACTTTTCTACATTGGCTAGAGGTATAGGGGGAGGGTTGAGATCTCATAAACATGTTTAACCCCGCCGCATTTTTGCGCCTGTCCCAAGTCAGGAGCCTCTAGCCTTTGTTAGTCTTGTATTATTTTTAATTTTAGTTTCTTGTGTACAATTTGGAGTTTAGTATGGCGTTCATTATCACTGAACTAGTATATATATTTGTTTAGGGGCCAGCTGAAGGACGCCTCCGGGTGCGGGAATTTCTCGCTGCATTGAAGACCTGTTGGTGGCCTTCTGCTGTTGTCTGTTCTGTGGTCGGGTTGTTGTCTCTTTGACACATTCCCCATTTCCATTCTCAATTTTATATTGCACAAGAGGTGCATAGCGTTTCCAGATAACTCCTCCAACAGTTTGAATGCTAGGAAGTTTTGACTTTGCTGGCTGTTTGTACATATATTGAAAGTGTGCATGTGGTCAGGGTTTTGATTTTTATTGATATTTGCTCTTTTGGGGAGATAGTTGAACTTTGTAATTTTTGGAGTATGTTCTTGCATAAGAGGTGCATAGCGTTTCCAGATAACTCCTCCAACAGTTTAAATGCTAGGAAGTTTTGACTTTGCTGGCTGTTTGTACATATATTGAAGGTGTGCATGTGGTCAGGGTTTTGATTTTTATTAATATTTGCTCTTTTGGGAGATAGTTGAACTTTGTCATTTTTTTTAATTATTTACTTGCATAAGATGTGCATAGCGTTTCCGGATAACTCCTCCTACAGTTTGAATGCTAGGAAGTTTTGACTTTGCTGGCTGTTTGTACATATATTGAAGTTGTGCAGTTGGCCAGGGTTTTGATTTTTATTGATATTTGATCTTTTGGGAGATAGTTGTACTTTGTCATTTTTGGAGTAAATACTTTCATAAGAGCTGCTATAGCGATTCCGGATAACTCCTCTGACAGTGAACCATAGACCTATGTGCTCCCATTCTCAACTTTGTATTTTAAAATAACACTTTGCATCTGCGGGGGCATCATTTGCGTCTCACAGACACAATAATATCGCAAAGAAAGTCCTATATTGACTTTGTTATATCTTTTTACAGTTACTACCAGAGTGGAGTGCGGAGGCATCACTTTGTCGAGTTTTTATTTTTTTTTAACACATATAAACGTTTTATTCCTAAACATTTCCTGTAAAACATTATCTTAGTCGTCCAGGTAACAGGCTATGGCTCCCTGTTTACAAAATGAGCCATCTATCCAGGGGTAATAGAAGGCTAAAAATGTAGTCCACTTTTTACCTTGGATTTACAATTAGTTTCAAAAATATATATCCACATGATGTTAACTCTATACCTGAACTTCAACATAAAAATTAATTGATAAGATACCAACACACATAAATATGGTAACACTTTTATATCATTTTTATATATGTATATTAGTAATAAAGTCCATAGTCTTATACAATACATCATACAAAATATAACTTTGTTTAAAGTTAATTTTATATTTTTTTGTCTAAATTTTCATTTTATTGACTTCAATTTTGTCTTATCGATGATGTTAATGCTTTTCAATTGAAGAAGAAATTCTAGATTAATTTTTAAGTTATAATTCCATATATTATAAATATCTTGTGCTATAGGCATTTTGTTGTATTTTATTGATTCCTAATTTTCCATAGAGACCTTTAAGAATATTTAATAATTGTGTTTAAAAAATAATCCATGAAGGATATTACTAATGGAGTCCACAAACTTGAAAAATTTTAAACCTCATAAAGCACTGGTCCTGATTCAATAACATCTTTTATACTGAAAGCATCAGCAGACCAACTTGCTCCCATTCTTACAGACCTATATCAAACATCACTGAACTTTGACGAAGTCCCTCAAGATTGGAGAGATGCACATGTACGAAGGTCTGGATGGGGTTTACAAAATAAAAATAATAGGCACAAAAAGCAGAATAAAGGCAACAAAATATAAAGAAGAAAGAAAAATAGGCCAAAAAGTAAAGAATAGAAAAATAATGGGTGCTGAAATTTAAAGAACAGAGAATATTGGGCAAACATTAAAGAATAGAGAAAAATGGTCTAAACAATTGAAGAATATAGATAATTACAGAACAGTATATTAGTTACTTTCATTACATGCAAGGTCTTAGAACATGTTGGACATAACAACATAATGGACCACTTCGACAGAAATAAAATATACTTACTATGGACAACACGAATTCCGCAAAAAACGATCTAATTGCGAATCCCAGATTATCCTAACCATTAACGACATCGCATCGAAATTAAAAAGAAACTGTCAAGTATAGATATCGTCCTTCTAGATTTTGCAAAAGCATTTGACAAGGTGCCACAACGTCGCCTACTACACAAGCTGGAATATTACGGCGTCAATCCCAAAACCAACAGATGGATTCGCTCCTACATACCGGGAAACAGAGCATTATACTAGAGGGAGCTGTCTACACACAAGTACCAGTACTCGCTAGTGTACCCCAAGGTACAGTTCTTGGACCACTACCCTGTTCCTGGCATACATGAATGACATGCCAGAACAGCAATTACATCAGAGACCAAATAATCGGCCGATGACAGCTTACTCTGTCGAACCATTACCAACAAAGCAGACAGTGACTTTCTTCAGAAAGACTTAAATCCATTGGAAGACTGGTAAAATAAATGGCAAAGAAGTTTTAAAGCCAAAAAATGCCTTGATTTAAGAATATTACAGAAAAACCAACCAGTGATACAAACGACATACAAAATCCACGGTTATACTCTAGACACAGTTGAAACCATCGAATAACTAGGAGTAATAATCAGTCACAACCTAACCTGGGATAAACCAGAGACATATATACTTAGTACATATGTCTCTGGATAAACACATCGACAATACAGTTGGCAAAGGAAATAAAACATTAGGATTTATCTGCAGAAATCTCAAAGGCTGCACAAAACCTGTAAAGGCAGTTGCATATATATCCATGATAAGACATGCAGTGGAATATGCATGCATGCACCGTATGGGATCCAACAAACTAAAATAAAAGCAGATACAGAAAAGGGCAGTAAGATTTGTGAACAACAACTACACAGACCGAACACATGGTTGTAAAATGGGAAAGCCTTGAAGAACGGAAGTTATAAATCAAACAGACTACACTGTAAATCTAAGTGTTAATAAATAGAACACTGCTTGAACGCTTTTTTGTAACACTTTTTGAACGTGTAATGGTGTTCCAAATGTTTACACTAGTGTTCATCAATTGAATGTGTGGTGTTCAGTTTTTAATGCCTTTGTGTTTCATTTTTTAACACTTGATGTTAGAGTTCTTAACACTTAGTGTTCAACGATTTAACGTGTCCGAATGTTCAAAATCTTAATACGTCGACACGTTCAACAGCCATGTAACACTTTTTGAACACATAGAACATGTTTTAAGCCAAAGTGTTAAGATTCAGAACACCAGAGGTTAACTTTCAGAACAGTTGACATAAGTGTTCAAAGTGATGGTGTTCAAATGTGGAACATGTTCTATTTTCAAGCATACATAAATTTCCATAAGTACTCAACTTAAATAAACTGTTATATAAACTATATTCAATCAGGCAAAATATAACAATAAAACATATTTTAACAAGTAATTCTTTATGTAATCAAATGAGCATATTATATGTAAGAAAAGTACACCAGATACCTTATGATATCACAAGTAACAGTCAGTGAAATCACATACATAATGTTTTTAAACTGACTTAAATAGATATCACAAATAATGATTTTCCCCTACATGACTAGATAGTTGCAACATCATTTGTATCCTAACCAAAAAAGCATGTCAATGTGATAATTAGATAGTTTATTATATAAGTATATGTCACAATGAAAGTTTAAAAGTTTGCAAATTCCAACAGTTCTTGTACGATCACATACAATGTACGCTCCACTTTTCAGTGCATCTTCACTTAAAGCTATCAACTGGGTGGCATTTTATGTGTTGTTATCAACTTCCAATATCAAAATCCTCCACAACAAGGAATGTCTATGAGCCTATATATCCTGCAAAATAAAATTAAAAATTAATAGAAGAGAGTTTTTCATAAAGCATCAAATTATGCAATGATTGTTAAACTTTAATGTCGATATATACTAGTGTACAAATTGATATTCTATAGCAATGAAATGCAAGTTTTGACATTATAAATTACAAAAGTCGATTTCTTGACCTAAGGTGAACAGATAGAAATGATACACCCACATAAGCTATTAATATACATATATTGTCATACCTTTTTTCGACATCTTTCTTTTTTCCACCACTTTGTAGCATGCAGAAATGACCTTTTTGGGATTATTGGCTACCGGTTCCTAATTCAAACATTTTAATCTAACGATTCCTGCAAATAAAAAAAAAACAAATGCATTTTCTAAGTCAAAAATGGTGTTCCAAATGTTTGCACTAGTGTTCATCAATTGAATGTGTGGTGTTCAGTTTTTAATGCCTTTGTGTTTCATTTTTGAACACTTGATGTTAGAGTTCTTAACACTTAGTGTTCATCAATTGAATGTGTGGTGTTCAGTTTTTAATGCCTTTGTGTTTCATTTTTGAACACTTGATGTTAGAGTTCTTAACAATTAGTGTTCATCAATTGAATGTGTGGTGTTCAGTTTTTAATGTCTTTGTGTTTCATTTTTGAACACTTGATGTTAGAGTTCTTAACACTTAGTGTTCATCAATTGAATGTGTGGTGTTCAGTTTTTAATGCCTTTGTGTTTCATTTTTTAACACTTGATGTTAGAGTTCTTAACACTTAGTGTTCAGCTAATGTATGTGGATGTCGAAAATCATCATTTATTCTGTATAACAGACAGACTGTTTATTCATCAGTTTAGGAAATCATCAGAACAAAGCTGACAGTTATTTACGTTTATATCTAAAGCCCGTTTTTTAATTCGTCTTTTATGTTGAATATTGAAAATTTGGATATAACAGTTATGAATATTTGACAAATATATATCTGGCATGAGAAAATAACAAGAAAGCCATCGAACTACCTATGGAGATTATTCTAACTTGTTACTTACTTCTTTCGTGTTCATATGGGATAGAAGTCCCTTCTCCAGTTCTCTTTCTTATGTGTATCCATTCTTCGTTTAACCGCCTAAATCGCCAGCCGATATCTGTTTCCGGTATTTGGTATCTTGGTATATTTTTTTTAACACGAGGTGTTCAAAATTTCGAGCGATTTGAACACTGATTGAACATGTAATGTTAATAAAACGAACGGATCATGAAATAAGATAAACATCGACATATTTTTATTACGATATTATCATAACAGGCCTCATTGATATGCATAATTATGTCACTTATAAGTAAAACTAGTATATATAAATAAATAATAAAATAAATTCATAAACTATACATATATGCCAGCTTGGAAGTTTAATATTTCACAATTACTAAAATATTAGCCAAAAATTCACAAGATCATCATCCTGCGTATACATTCATATTCTTTAAAGAATTTCTTTTTGAATTTGCCAATTGGAAGGATAGAAAATCGGACAAACGACTATCTTCTTTATTAGATCAGAATTTGAACACCGGTGTTCACTGCGTCTGAACACACATGTTAATATTTTTAAAACAAACGTTAAAACTTTGAACACGTCTCTAAGCATGAACATATGACGTTAAAATATTGAACATTCGGTGTACAAATTTTGAACGCGTCCGGACGCGTCAGACGTCAGATATATTTACAGTGTAGCCGCTAGCTGTTCGGTGTGAGCCAAGGCTCCGTGTTGAAGGCCGTACTTTGACCTATAATTGTTTACTTTTTATTACACATTGTGACTTGGATGGATAGCTGTCTCATTGGCACTCGTACCACATCTTCTTATTTATACATGCATGCAATTCAAGATCATGCATGATATTAATCGACATACACCGTCAACGAAATCTGACCCAGATGATATCCGGACCAGACGTAAAAACCGTTTCTATAAAGAAAAAAACAGTACTGATGCCTACGGCCGATCTTTCTTCCCAAGGACCATCAAGGATTGGAATAATTTACCAATATTATCATTGGCCAACACAGTTGATGGATTCAGAGCTGCCTTGAAGGCATGCCAAAGAACTCAGCAACATCAAGATGAACACAATTTTAATACTAGTAGTAAAATATTGCGAACGTTTTTAAATGTAAATTGAGAAGTCATTCTCTTTCATGGTGAAGAAACGGAACAGCTGTCGCTATTTTTCATTACGATAAAGTTTAACAAGGCTGTCGGCCCCGCTCCTACCAGAAGGCAATTTCCCCTCATGATTTGTTTTTCATATACATATGTATCATAATTTCTTATGCCTCTTGTCGGATTTCAATGCCTGCGATAATAGTCAGTTGATGGGCCATCTGTGTAATAGATTACCTTAGCTGTATTTGGCAAAACATTTAGGAATTTTGGTCCTCAATGCTCTTCAACTTCGTGCTTTATTTGGCCTTTTTAATTTGTTTGGATTCGAGCGTCACTGATGAGTCTTTTGTAAACGAAACGTGCGTCTGGCGTAAATACAAAATTTAATCCTGGTATCTACGATGAGTTTATGTAAAGTGCAACTATGCAGCTTTTATGATAAATAAACAAATGAAACCTTGAAATGCACAATGGTTGCAAAAAAAATGCATTTCAGTGATCTAAATAATCACTGATTTGAAATGTTTTATAATATTCCATTAAATTGTGTTTGTTAGGACATGAACAAAAGATATGAAAATCGATATATTATTCGATTTAAAAGAAATTATCATTCAAGCACACGTGAAAGAAACATTTATCAGTTTTGATCTAATTATCAAATGCAACTGCATGTGAACATAAAACTATAAACGAATTTGACTTCACTTCTGTTTTCTTTGTCTTAGTACAGTTTTAACTTTTCAATTTGGACAGAGGAACTAAACAAATTCGAAAAAAAATATTATCAACACTACATCTTCCAAAAACATCACGAAAATAAATCTTTGAAGTGCAAAATCATTTGTATTATATTTAAATCAATAGTAAAAATGATAATGGGTCAAGATACAGTAAACTGGGTATGTCACAGATTTTGGTAAAATTTTGCAACCAACTTTAGCTCGTTGAACTATAACTGAAAATAGAAAAAAAATTAATGCATTTATCTTTTTTTCAAAATAGAAATTACAAAAATTTATCTGCAAAAAAAGTTCTTAAATTTCCAGTTTCAAATCCATACATTTTTCTGGAAAAAAAACTGTGACCCCATATGGTTGCTGATACATACATTTCCGTGATGTAAGATAAACATGGTGTCACCCGGGACTATTATACTAGTATTATAGTCCCAGGTGTCACCGACTTCGTTTACACGATATACATCGTTCAAGCAGGGACTTTCTATACTTTTAGTATAGAAAGTCCCTGGTTCAAGGTACCACAAAATGTCGAAATTAATAAGTGTAACGTCATCGTGTGTTAATATAAGCCGTAAATGTCAATTTTTGACGTTTTTTTCTACTGGTACCAACTAGATTTAAACAGATTAGTTAATATTATAAACCTGGGACTATTATACTGACAACTATATGATCATATGTCCCAGAATAAACCAAAAACATTAGTCTTAATTAACTTATAGACAGGGAATGTGTTTTTTTTTAAGAAGATCTGATATTTTTCTTTTCTTTTTCGTATTGTAGTAGATTTTTTAAAACTTTAAATCTGGGACTATTATACTAACAATATATTATATCCCAGTTTAAATTTAAAAAAAAAATAATCCCATTCCAGACAAGGAACACGGAAATACTCAGTCTTATTCGACATTGGTTCTGTCTGTTACGCACTTCTTTTCCCGCCAACTATAAACTGATAAAATGGCGCCAGCTGTTGATCCGCCTGGAAATGAAAATGACAATGATAATAGCGATAATTATGGTATAAACAAGTGATTAGAAATTTTATACACTGTATTTTAAGATATGACAATAACATGCATATTTGGATCTGTTTGAACATACCCGATAACAAAAGTCTGAAAAGAATTGAGACCGAGCGAGACGGTCTCCGACCAATTTTCAAGATGCCCTCAACAATTGTTTGACAATGAGCTAGACACGATAACACAACCCTGTATCCGCTACTATCCCGTGAGTGTACGATCCCGTCCTATGCTCGCAGTGTTGAAGCCCAGGAGTGAGTGATGGTAGTCCTGGTTCATTTAATTCTTTATTGAATAGTTGAGGAATAAAAACATTTAGGTTTTCTGAAACTAATTTGATACAGTAGTGTCTGGTAATTCCGCCCGTTCGGTAAACCCGCCCACTCCAATTTACTTCTGTAATTGTCACTTCCATGAATATTTCGTCTGCAGTTTTATTCATCAGTTGTTCATAGGAACTGTAATTATCATCACTGCAATCTGCATGTAAAATTTTAAAGAAAAATCCTTTAATACGAAAATATCTAGTGATATATATAATACAGTTCCTAAAGCTAACGATAATCATATTATTGCTTACAAATCTCATTTCTGACTTGATTTTTTTTGGGGGATTACCTGGAATACCTTAATAAGTGGTCTATTAATAAATATATCACCTTTTCCTTTCATAAATTTGTGATAAACTGTCCCTCCATATAATTTACTGCGCATGGACGGATTTACCAGACAAACACATTTCCGATAAAAACACGGATGATCCACTTGTTTTGTTTTAAAAATTTATTTCAGATATTTTTTGAGAAATGAGATAAACTACTCTAAGTTGATTTGTCAGTGAATCGATTTATATTAAATTTGATACAATTTGTATATAATTAAGCAGAAATACATACGATCAAAGCCTTATGTGGGCGGATTTACCAGACTGCATCGTAAGGGAGCAGTCTGGTGAATCCGTGCACATTAGACTACACTTTTGTGAACAAATTCATGACACACTATTTCATGAAATCAGTATGAATGTAAGATTTTGCTTAATGTGTGTCCAGAATCATGGGAAACCCCTGTTTTGACAGGTCTTGAAATATCTGGTGATTTTGGGCATGTCGTCTAAAAATAGTTTATGTTGATTAAACATGATGTTAAAAGAAAGGTTTTATACTATGAAATACAGTTCAGTTTGAACCAACGTGCTGTCAATCATGTGGAGCAAAAGTTACTTCATTTTGATCAAATTTGTCGTAAAATGAAACAATTATCTGAAGATGTCATAAAAGAGAATCTAAAGATGTCAAAGGGACATTCAAACTCGTAAGTCAAAAATTAAACTTGACAACACCAGTCTGTGCCAAAAACTTTTCCAAGCACTAGCCTATAGGGCTAGTTAAATAAAAAAAATAACTAGCCCGAATTGATGTTTACTAGACCTGAAAAATTTTGTGTCACTGATGAGGATGAAGAAGTGATCCGAACCTCCTAGGAGGGTTTGGGGGCATGCCCCCCCAAGAAAATTTTGGAAAATTAGATGTAAAATCCTGCATTCTGAGGTTACATTTTTGTATCTGAAAGTGAATATATAACTTATAAAAAAAATGTTGTTTTTTTCTCCAGGTCAAATGAAAAATTATTATTTTCTCCAATAAAAAATTATTAGTTCTTTTGCCAAAAAAAAATCTTTTTCCATAAAATTGTACCATTTCAAGTAAAAAGATATTTTAAGCACTAGTAGATTATTACTCAACCTAGGGATTGTTACTTTTTAGGGGGAAAATTCCCTCATTTGTGGTTGTCCCCAACTGTTTAGAATTATTCCTAATATTTAAGTCTCCCAAACGAAGTTTGGGAAGACTTATTGTTTTTGCTCAGTTCTTATTATTATTCTTCTTCTTCTTCTTCCAGAGCTCCAGATAAGAATTCACAAATTGGGGTTTTTACCCACCATTTTTTTATGTAATTGGGTGATAAAGTTTTTTAATTGCATTATCAATTCCAATTCACCCCTCAAGCAAATATCAAATTGGGTTTTTCACCACCAAGCTCCTTAATGTATTGGGTTTTTTTCAATCAACACAATATTGAATATTTAGGCATGTTATAATCACATTATATCAACCCCAGATGAGTTTCCATCTTAAATGTGTTTCTTTCTTTGTAGAATATGTGCTACCTGTTTTATTTGGTTTATTCACTGACGAGCAATTGTACATTTAATTTGTGTCCCGTTTTAAACGTTCTGTCAGTTTTGTATTTTCTCAAAACTTATGTAAACTGCAGCTGGTGTCACTAGTTGGACATAAACTAATTGCCTTTCTAGATCCCATATGATCACCCTACAGTTTAATTATAGTTGGGGTAGGTGTGGCCAAGTGTTTAGATTTTTGTGTAATATATGTGAAATTTAGGTGCTGTAAGAAAGTTTTGCCAGTCCTTTCACCTATTTGCCAGATCTACTTTTTAATAAAAATTAAAAAAAAATTCCAGATTTAAGATATACCCCAAAACCTTGAGGTTTATAGGGTGGTTTATAATGACGGAGACCACATTCAACTTAAATTTACAAATAATTCTGCAACACCAAGTAAATAAATGACAATGTTATACTGCACTTGCCAATAAGACAACTATCCTAAGCATCTAGAACAATTAGACCAAAACAAAGAAAGTGTCAAGCTGTATTGACGTAAAAAACGGATATGTGTATTCCATGTATTCACTCATCAACTAAAATGAAAAAAAAAAAATATATAAACTGTTTTCGTTTAATTCAATTTACATAAATCTGGGTTAAGTTGTCCCTTATCAGAACTTTTGGTTTCCGATGCTTTCAAACTACATATGTCATAATTGATTTGGCCTTTCACTTTTTCCAACTGATTTCGTTTTTGACGGAACCCCGTGTTTATCGCTCTAGCAATGTTCTCGTTATGGTACGCAAACACGCCCGTGCGTTCAATGGCCGCTTCCTAAAATCACTAACTGAGTCTTGTTATCATCATAACTTTCCCTCAGCTATCAAAAAGAAGCCGAAAACATGCTTCTATTCAATATTTTTACCGGACATTTACTTTCGTTTTAATTCATTGTATGTTGTGATAAATCCCGAGCAATTCGAAAAAATATGACAGCATGTCACACGCTAATTGGATAAACGCCGAGAAGATCGAAATGTTTTCATAACCACGTGTACCTTTTGAGCAACGGAAAATTCCAACAGGGACCCATTACAGCTACTTGATGCAGGGCTCTATTTTTAGAACGAAAGGACATTTCCAATTATAAATATTATAAAAATAGATTTACGCGACAACTGTAATCAAGTAAGGGTAAATAACGCAAACGATAGCGAATAAAAGCGTTAAGAACCCATGTTTTTGGCATATAATTGGGTTTTCCTTTGAATTAATTGGGTTATTGAACCCTGAAATGGACAATTGCATTGGGTTTTTAATAATTTTTATTGCGTGATCACGCAAATACGCAGCTTATCTGGAGCTCTGTTCTTCTTCTTCTTCTTCTTCTTCTTCTTCCTTCTTCTTCTTCTTCTTATTATTCTTCTTCTTCTTCTTCTTCTTCTTCTTCTTCTTCTTCTTCTTCTTCTTCTTCTTCTTCTTCTTCTTCTTCTTCTTCTTCTTCTTCTTCTTCTTCTTCTTCTTCTTCTTCCGCCGCTTTTAAATTTGAACTTGTCCGCACCCGTTCTCCAAAACCGCTTGTCAGATTAACTTAGGGTTTCACAATATGTTAGACTAACATGTCTAGTGGTGCAATCAGGGTTTTGTTTGTGCAATGGGGTTTTTAAAGGGGAACTTTGAGGGGGAAAAAGAAAAGAGGGTTTTACTATAGAACCCTATGGGATTTTTTTTTTTTAAATTTTCAAATGATTATAAATTGAAAACCGTTTGTGATAGACACAATCTTTTTAATTGAAAATGTTCTAAATGATAAAGCCCATTAAATGAAATACAGGGTTAGTCCCCAGGGGTCACCCCCACCCCCTGCCATTTAAGAAAGTTCTAATACCTTGTAAGTGGTCAAGATCCCCACCCCTAAACCATATATATTCTGGTTTGTCATGCTAAGATGGTTTGAATGATAAACAGGGTTAGTCCCCAGGGGTCATCCTGACCCCCTGCCATTTGAGAATGTTCTAATATCTTGTTAAGGGTTGAGATCCCCACCCCTAAACCATATATATTCTGGTTTGTCATGATAAAGCACATCAAATGAAATACAAGGTTAGTCCCCAGGGGTCACCCCCACCCCCTGCCATTTAAGAAAGTTCTAATATCTTGTAAGTGGTCAAGATCCCCACCCCTAAACCATATATATTCTGGTTTGTCATGCTAAGATGGTTTGAATAATATACAGGGTTAGTCCCCAGGGGTCATCCCGACCCCCTGCCATTTGAGAAAGTTCTAATATCTTGTAAATGGTCGGGATCCCCACCCCTAAACCATATATATTCTGGTTTGTCATGATAAAGCACATCAAATGAAATACAAGGTTAGTCCCCAGGGGTCACCCCCACCCCCTGCCATTTAAGAAAGTTCTAATATCTTGTAAGTGGTCAAGATCCCCACCCCTAAACCAAATATATTCTGGTTTGTCATGCTAAGATGGTTTGAATGATTTACAGGGTTAGTCCCCAGGGGTCATCCCGACCCCCTGCCATTTGAGAAAGTTCTAATATCTTGTAAATGGTCGAGATCCCCACCCCTAAACCATATATATTCTGGTTTGTCATGATAAAGCACATCAAATGAAATACAGGGTTAGTCCCCAGGGGTCACCCCCACCCCCTGCCATTTAAGAAAGTTCTAATATCTTGTAAGTGGTCAAGATCCCCAACCCTAAACCATATATGTTCTGATTTGTCATGCTAAGATGATTTGAATGATATACAGGGTTAGTCCCCAGGGGTCATCCCGACCCCCTGCCATTTGAGAAAGTTCTAATATCTTGTAAATGGTTGAGATCCCCACCCCTAAACCATATA